AAAAGCTTAATTCCCCCCGTTCTTCAAGTGAGGGCTGCATATAGAGACATCCTTCTGAAGAATATAGTATGGAAAGGAATAAAACAAATAATTTTTCATTAACAAACTTGACCAACAGTTTCTCTGCCAAGTGATCAAGGTTAGCATCAATGGTGCTAAGTCATGTTGATCAGATGTGAATGAGAACAGCACCTTGTTTTCTTTTCCAAAATTACAATTTGGTCACATTATGAGAAAAATATATGATTCCCAGTTGAGAGACATTCTACTAAATACCTGATCAGTATACCTCAAAACTGTCAAGGTTCATCAAAACCAAGGAAAATCTAATAAAATGTCACAGGTATAAGGAGACTAAAGAGACATTATGACTAGTGGTATACTGGTGGACTCCTGGAAAAGAAAAAGAACAAAAGTAAAAACTAAGAAGATCTAAATAAAGAATAGACTTTGTTTTTGGGGATTGAACTCTGGGCACTCAAACCACTGAGCCACATCCCCAGCCCTATTTTGTACTTTATTTAGAGAGAGGGTCTCACTGAGTTGCTTAGCACCTTGCCATTGCTTGAGGCTGGCTTTGAACTCTTGATCCTCCTGCCTCAGCCTCCCATGGACTACAATTTTAATAATGTTGACAGTATTGGCTAATTAATTGTGACAAATGTATTACATTAAAATGTTAATGACTGAGAAAACCAGATATAGGATATTGGAATTCTCTTTAACTATTTTTGCAACTTTTCTATAGGTCTAAAACTATTCTGAAATAAAACCTTATTCTAAAAACTCAAAACTCTACAAGGAAAAATATATCTTAGATGGAGAGAATAAATATCACAAAAAGTCAACTCTTTTTTCTTCTCTTTCTTTGTATGTATGTGTATGTGTGTGTGTGTGTGTGTGGGGAGAGTGGCGAATACAGGGGATTGAACCCAGGATGACTCTATCATTGAGCTATATCCCCAGCTCTGTTTGTTTAAATTTTGAGAAAAGGTCTTGCTAAATTGCCCAGGCCAGACTTGAACTTACAATTATTCTACCTCACCTCTGAGAAGTAGGAATTACAGATATGTGCCACTGCACCGATCTAACTCTTTCTGAATTAATAAAGGTAATTTAATATTAWTTTAAAAAGAACACTGTTTAAATGAGATAAGATAATGCTACTATTTCTCAGTTGAATAAATGTATAGGGGGTATAGAAGGATACTGGGATTAAACACAGGGGCACTTTATAACTGAACTACACTGTCATTCCTTTTTTTTTTTTTTTWAAATTTTGACACAGGGTCTTGCCAAATTGCTCAGGTTGGCCTCAGACTCATAATCCTTCTGTCTTAGCCCCCCATATTGCTGGGATTACAGGTATGCACCACCGTACCTGGTGAAGGAATGCATTTTTGAGTGACAAAATGAAACAATACTAGCTTTCAGGTTAACCGCCCCCCCCCCCCCCCCCCCCCCCCCCCCCCCCCCCCCCCCCCCCCCCCCGCCGGCCGCCTTTTCCTACAACTTATTCTCATCTCTATAAGCTTAAATTTCTCAACAGGCTATGTAACTGATTCCTTCATCATCATAATATATTTTTAGATAGGCGCAGTGGCATACTCCCAGCAAGCAGCTCCGGAGGCTGAGGCAGAAGGATTTTGAGTTCCAAACCAATCTTAGCAATTAAGGTGAGGCCCTAAGCAACTCATGGAGACCCTGTCTCTAAGTAAAATATTAAAAGGGGATTGGAGATGTTGCTCAGTGGTTAAGTGCCCCTAGATTCAATCCCCAGTACCAAATATATACATAAATTTGTGTGTATACTCACACATACTTTTTTAAGAATAGTTTTATCTAGTAGTTTGAGATCCAAGCTCTACCTCAGGTTAGTAGGGATAAGGGKCTATTGAATGAACTGCTGGTTTGAGTAATGTCACAAGCTCATTTAATCTTTCTCAGCATTAGTTTCCTCATTGTAAAATGCAAATAGGATAACACCTGAGGGAGTTGTATAAATTACATGAAATGATGCATATAAAATATTTAGCACCTAAAGCATACATCAAACCACTAAATAAAATTATTCTTTGTTTTTTATTTATTTCTTATGTTGTTGGGAATCAAATCCAGGGCCTTGTACATGCTAAGTGAGTGCTCTACCATTAAGCTATATCCCTAATCTCTGAAATTATTCTTTTAAAACATATATTTAAAATTCAAAGTATTGCTGGGCATGGTGGTATATGCCTGTAATCCCAGCAGCTCAGGACACAGAAGCAGGAGGATCATGAGTTTAAAGACAACCTCAGCAACTTAGCAAGAACCTGTCTCAAAATTATATATAGGTAGTACTGGACCTGTGGGGTGTGCGGGCGGGTGGCTGCAAGAGGCTTTGGCGGACATGGCTCCCAACGCGCCGGCAGCAGAACCGGAGTGTCCTAAAGGCATCCGGGCTGTGCTGCTGGGGCCACCTGGGGCTGGCAAGGGTACGCAGGCCCCCAAATTGGCAGAAAACTTCTGTGTCTGCCATTTGGCCACTGGAGATATGCTGAGGGCCATGGTGGCTTCTGGCTCAGAACTGGGAAAAAAATTGAAAGCAACTATGGATGCTGGGAAACTGGTGAGTGAAGAAATGGTAGTGGAGCTTATTGAGAAGAATTTGGAGACCCCGTCATGCAAAAATAGCTTTCTTCTGGACGGCTTCCCTCGGACTGTGAGACAGGCAGAAATGCTTGATGACCTCATGGAGAAGAGGAAAAA